TACTTCCGTGATTAACGTTTCACATTGTTAGATATTGATATCATGGACTCAATATGGCGTCACCAGGTTTGATATCAGGGACACACGTGTAGGTGAATGAACATGTCGTTACTTCCGTGATTAAAGTTTCACATTGTTAGATATGATATCATGGACTCAATATGACGTCACCAGGTTTGATATCTTGGACACACGTGTAGGTGAATGAACATGTCGTTACTTCCGTGATTAAAGTTGTTCGGTCAAGGGAACAACATCCAAAGCCTCAGTTAAGCTTTCAAAAAGATTTATGTTAGATATGTGGAGGGCATTTCACAATTTGATGCATCTGTGACAAAGATTATGTCGGATCCAATTGTACCATACGTTTCCGAATTATTTTAGGTGACCAAATGACTACACTTAGCATGTCTTTGACGGGTGCCACACGTGGGGCTCGATACACTTACCTTTTCGTGAACACCTAGTACCATAGATATTTCATAGTGATTCATAAATACATGCCCTGTCATCGTATTGCATGGTAAGAATCACAGCATTGTCTGGTCCAGGCTTGATTGTTTACAAACAACAGCGTACAGCTGTAATACTGTTGAAACAAAGACATTCTCATTATTAGTGCTGGTATTTGGCATACAACCTGCGATACGATACAGCATGATACGAAAATTTAGTCATGACGATATATTGTCAAAGTATTTTGTTCACTGAAGCTGCGATACGATATGAATCCCGATATAAGGGTGGCTATACTGAAACCTTTAATTCCAACACCAACAATAAAACACCTTAATATCACAACAAAAACAATGTTTAAATGAAAGAAAGTTCAGTTTGAAAATAAGTCGCATTAGGCCCATATTTATTTTTAAAAAAACAAGTACAAAATAAATAAAACATAATACTGTTATAAACAGAAAACATAGATCAAAAACATCTTTAATATCTGCATGCTGCTGGATGCTGTCACTACAGTCACATAATAGAATGAACTCTGTGCTGATTTTACAGACAGTATATCTTGACAGATATCGCGATTCGGCAATATTCAAAGTTAAACATCGATGTATCGTGGCCCATTTGAAGTATCGGGATATACGACAACGTAAACTTTTGTATCGATTCACTGTATTGGCGGCCCATGGACCGATGCATCGATGCGAATCGATGAATCGTGACTCCACTACCAATTATATACCGGTAGTCCGAATCCTGCATTCGACTCTGCTGCTTATATCAGAGATTTGTTATGGTCGCTTCCATTTGAATAATGTCAATACGGAAGATAATGGCAAACCTCTTCGTAGAAAATGTAACTCTTGATGCATCCTTCTTTAGAAGATGTATTCACTGTTTTCAATGTCCATCTTTCCTGTGAAGATCCGGAATAACATTGGCCTTCCATGTTTGTCGTAATAGGCGACTAACGGGTTCGGATGGTCAGGCTCTCTGACTGAGTTGACACACGTGATCGTATCCCAAATGCGTAGATCGATGTTCATGCCGTTGATCACTGGATTGTCTGGTCCAGACCGGGTATATAAAGACCGCTTCCATATAGGTGGAATAAATAAAATAAATCCAAATCCAATGTACAACTAGTGAGGCGTACTGCTCAGGGTACAGTTCCGCACACATTTGTGTGGAGCGTGTGATAAAATAGACCATATTCCCAGGAAGTAAAAGCAACATATTCCAACTTGAAAGGTAATAAGAAGGACTTTCACAATTTTCCAACCTTTCGGTGACTGGAAAGGCCGATCTTTTATAATAAATCGAAATTAAAGTACAATTATCTAAACAGCGTTGCAATCAATATATCAAAAACCGAATTCCAGCTCTTGAAACCGTTCCCATATCTCTCCAGTTCGATAACTTCTACGTTTGTGAATATTACCAGAACTCTTACCCTCTTAAAAGTGCTAACTTCACAACCTTATCCCAGTCATTTTCAGTTACATTTGAAGACGAGGCCACCATGGCGGTTAAACGTACATCATTTCGACGGCCCGCGTTCGGTTCCCCACATCGGTATAAGATGTGCAGCTCATTTCAGAAGCCATGATCTTAATATTGCTGGAAATTTGCTAAAAGTACTGTAAAAACCTAACCTAATCACTCAGTAAAATTAGTGTGTGTTTGTGGTGATTCCCGCATTCTGAATCCCTAAATGGCTATCGATTGTGAAGAGAATAGCACCTAAGGGGTGTAAACAGTCTTCATATGCAGACACAATGAATACGATTGGCAAAGTAACACTGTTAGTAACTTCCATTCAAGGAACTGTGTTACGTAACTGTTGATAATGTTAGTCGAGCCGGAGCTTCATCAGTCTCTCATCAGGAACGATGAGGTTTAAAAATTGAAAAATATCTCATTATTAGCTCTTTTCATACTTTGATTGAATCTCTCCTAATCAACCGAAGATTTATGAAAATATTAGAACAGTTAAAGTGATTGGAAACGTGACGTCATATATTTCATAATGACATCAAGGCTGTATGGGCGTGTGACGAGTTAATGAAATAATGCAATATTCTCGGAACGATGAACGGAAAGGCAGATACAATAAATCTGGAACCACATTTGTTATTTTAGAATACATTTGTGTTTGCTTTGGTGACATTTCAGTTTACTTGATGGTGATCGTATTCTCGTCTATTATTATTATTTATTCATTTAGAGTCGATTTAGAAATTTACAAAGGTAAGAGTACGCCTGACATAATGATGATCCTACTTGCGTTCTAATCCTCCTTCACATGGAGAGCTAATTTGCTTTCCCACCCCCGCGTGGTTTGGAAACTTGCAATTACTGACAACACCAATTACCAATGATGGGGACACACGGCTTACAGTGTCCCACGGTCGATTCCCGACCCTCCCATCGAATCCATGGCTATTTCTGTATTTCATCAACTTTGGTCGGGATAATAAAAAATACAATCGTAAATCTCGGCGGGATTGGATGTTATTTGTGCCGATGTAAGTATAGCCGGTAATTTGAGGAAAATTCCGAGAAGAAAATTATGCCAGGAGAAATTGTTTGGTTAAAAAAGATAAAATACTTTTGTGTTAAACCCCCAGAATTCCGTTTTTTGAACTAATGATTACGCCTTGCCATTTTTCTAAAGTTCAGTAACTAATGCATTTGGTATGGACAACTGCATGACATAATTGTAAGACCAATTTGTCTTCTCTGTCTCTAGCAGCAGTTACATCCTCAACACTAACAGTCACAAATCGGTTTACGACAAGAAATGGCTGGAATTATCTTTCACAGTTTATCGTCTTTCTCTTTCTTCACTGGCCAGAACCTGCAACGTAACGACGCTTCTAACAGTTGTTTGATAATGGTGTCAGTACCTAAAACAGAACGTCGCTCCTAACACTTGCTTTATGACAAAGCTAGAACCTAAAACGAAACATCGCTCCTAACACCTGCTTTATAACAGTGCTTTAACCTACAATGGAACGTCGCTTCTAACACCTGCTCTATAATAGTGCTTTAACCTACAATGGAACGTCGCTCCTAACACCTGATTTATAACAGTGCTTTAACCTACAATGGAGCGTCCCCCATAACTCTTGATTAATAACGGTGTTAACACCTGAAACGGGACGTCGCTAATAACTGCAACAAAGAAGCTGATTATCCTCATATGTTATGGTTGCTTAGAACTTCCAAATGTCTCACAAAAACGTAAAACAAAATCAATTAGTGTTTCAAGTATTTCCAGCCGCAGCTGATCGTGAACAATATACCCTGCCGGGCTATACATGTATAACTTCAACGAGAAGACACCTGCGACAGAGCTTTGTTCAGAACTTGTTTTCAAACGCGAAAACCTTCAATTAGAATCTTCCTGTTAACAAATCTGAACACTGATCTTGACAATCGCTTCCACACACAACAGTTCCACGTGTTACTTTATGAATACCGAAATCACAATCACCTACGACTATTGATAGACATTGCCGATGCATACTCTTGCAATTATACCCCCATAAGGTTTTTATTCTTCTCATCCTTTTTAACTGATAGGGTCTCCAAACCCTTGAAATCCCATTTACAGTGTTCACAGGTGTTTCAGTTCGCATATGCATTTTCACTACTTTTATACAGTCGACAGATATGTGATATCAAGATTTTTTTTGAATCGTGGGTATTGTTACAGTTCCACAGCAAGGCACTATGAGGGCTTCAATACCAGTTGAAGTAACATTTCTTTCTGCGTTCTGAACGTCTACCGCCTATTTGAACATAGGTTTTCAATTATCTTGAAAGAAAAGTATATATTTCGTTACGTTCTTGTAAATGTGATATGTCAAAAAGACCAATATACTCCATTATAAATAAGACTCACTCCATTATAACAGTTTACGATAATAAGATAAGACTTAAATCATGTACAAGTGCATCCTTCAAGTTATACCAATCAACCATGACAATAATACACAGAAAGACCCAAACCGCAGAAGTATTGACATTTACTGATACTAGCAACAAAAACCTCAGAAATACTAAAAGTTCAGGGTTTCCGCTACGTGTCTCTGCCATGTCATAACCTCTGACAGCTTGTCTTAAACCGCTGTATCTGACCAACGCCATTTGACAATGACATGTTTTAACAAGACATGTACTGTCTCCGATTTTCTCATCGAGCAGTCCGCTGATCGCTAACGGTCTTTAGGCCAGCTCTCTCTTCGCCAAGCCCTCACTTCCCGTAATGATACGAAGAACGCTCATTTTGTTGCATCGTTTCCATAGCAACTATGCCACTCTCGCTCCTCCAGAGGAGGTGTGCTAGCTTGCAGTGCCTTAGGCTCGAGCCTCTTCCCCCTCCCTCCTCTCCCGCCCCCTCACAAACCACAAACCCTTCCCCCTCGCTCACATCTTGCTGATTGACAGTTGCCACCCATCAATCAATAATCGATTTCAGCACGTACAGAATATTGCTATTGACGGATGCTAAGTTGCTATATAAGCCATCAAGAACTGCGTCGTGCCGCTAATTCGCGTAAATCCGACAGGGGAGTCACTTTGTACCATCGCCAGGGTATCCGAGAAGGCAAGCCAATTGAGGACATACCTACGTGTAGAACAACCACTGTCATACCTCTCTAGTTAGTAAAACCTAGGGACTATCCCGTAGACAGGTAGGTGCATTCTGTTGTGATTTCATAGCTATGTCATTTACACTTTTTTTATGAACTTGCATTATGCCCGTCAGCAACCGTTGAAAAGATATATCGAACTGTACAATGGAATTAAATGTACATGTTTAACACGCGTAATGAGTTTTTCTGCGATATCTGGATACGATGACTGAGATCATTAAGCGGGAATTGCAGAGAATCAAATACACGCCACCTTACAATTATTCTCTGTGAAAGCATGTGGTAATGTAACTGTGTCACACAGGTGGCTTTATCCATTTCCGCGTTCAGTGATTATGTGCAAGCGTATTGTATGCATTAGACATTGAACTAATCTGACATCTTAAAAGATTGTTCATCGCGAGATGAAGAAACAAGAACGCGTTTGATCCTTCTTTGCTGTAGAAAGTAGTATCCGAACTCTCGTCAGTGAAGATCAATGTTCCGTTTAAAAAAGGGACGTTCATGTTTAAATGAAATAATTCAACGGACACCGTGGTTTACTGGACTGTCCTAGAGCGCGAGGTCCGTGGTTCGATCCCCGGTCGCGTCAGGCCAAACAAAGTTGAAAGAAGGTACTTGTTGGTACCTTGCCTTTAGGGATAAAACAAGAACAACTCGGAAGAGTCATTGCAGTGTGTCTGAGTAGTGTTTCCATAAATGACCTGTGACATGATATATAAGTGAACAAGCACAATAAAACCGACTCTGGTCTGGAATATTACAAGCAGCCACAAATACTCACGTCGTTATAGCTATAAGTTACAACTGCAATAATCTTGAAAGCGACGTTAGGCCTGGCTTTTTCATATCACAAATTCAGGAATCCCATTGTTTTCACATACTAGATAGCAATCAAACACTTTTATATAGTAACTCGTTTTCTTACTACATACATCGAGAAGACAATACAGTTCGTTCTTATACAAATGCTGCGCTTAACTGCATCTCATGTTTTCTGTTATATCACCGCGTCGTATCCTAATTGCCATGATCAACCGACGTCTCTACCAATCTCCCCCAAACAGTACTAAGTCTTTTGCAGTTAAAAGGTAGCGTAACCTATTATAATCAAACTGGCAGGATTCCACAGAGAGAACATATGGGTTATTATGCATAATACAATCTGACATTATAATGTTCTGAAACCTGTGAATAGATCCAACTAATTGAAGTTACGTTCGAACAGCAATGCGAGATGTAGTTTTGATAATGCAGTTTATGGTACCAGAAAACGGTCAATAGGCCTCCTGAGTGTGATCGGAGTACAGAAGGTGATGTGATCTCCATTTAAGACGCCGTATCATACACTATAGAGATTGTGCATCTGCGTGTGTGCAAATACATTCGTTGATATGATTTAAGCAAATATTTTCCACAGACATATCCTGTCATATGTAACAAACGATCGTATTTATATTCCATATCTGATTAGGCAAAGTAGACATGGAGTTCACAGAAGGGTAGCATTGATACATATTGACGGTTGTGGTGAAGTAGGATGTTGACAGAAGAACCTCTCTTAAGTCCACTTAATGTCGTTAATGGAACTCCTACAGCTGATATCGTGTTCATACAAGAGGCACTTATGTATATATGTGTATGAATGTTTAATGTCATTCTTTGTACAAAATACTATCACACATGAGGGAAAATGAGAGCTCACATAATTTTTGAATATATATGTAGATGAACAGCTAGATGAATACCTCCGGGACGGCGGTATAACATAAAATGTGATTAAGGCTTTTGGAAGATATTCATTTGAGTGATTCATGATCTCCAAGGTTGTAAAAAAGTTGGTGCTCAGTCGATTTCTCAGGAATGATTAGAATATGATTTGGCCAAACGGTTTGCAATCTTTTCACTACGATCGCGTTAAATGGCGTAATAGAGAAAAACTAGTGGATAGGAACATAACTCTTACTTCTTATAATTTCGTCTAAATTAGAATTGTTTCCGTGGATGTCTGGTTCACTTTAGCAGATAGGAATAACGTGACGGAAACTAGCGCCGATTGACCAGTAAGAAACAGTATACCGAAAACCAACAATGAATTTAAAATAAATTTAAAATAAAGTCATTGGCACGAAGACATGACCGAGACTGTAAAAAGTTAATATTCGGAATTTAAACTATTTTATCATTACTATTCATGAAACTAAAATTGTTTTCACCACTGTAATATGAACCAAACACATCAACCTCGGAACCTTGGTTCCATATCCTGTTTATTCAATATAACGGTACTTCAAAGGTTTCATGGGTTTTACGTGACGTTAAACCAACAAGCTGTACTTGAATAAGTTTTCTGTTTGTTTTGACACAAGACCTTGGTGTGAATGTTAGTACTGCCGTTGTATTAAGTCGTATTATATCGGTCGTGTCTTTGCGTGAAAAGAAGGAATTAACACACGCCGTCTGCCAATATGGAAAAAGCCATTCGACGAAAGTTTCGACCAAACCACGAGTGGATCTTAGCAAATCAAGGGACACAACTCCCCACAACGAAATATTTCCCCATCAAAAATGCTTGTGAGACCCAATGTGTGTTTATGAAACGAACAATCAATAGTAATACTGTCAAACCTGCACATAGTATCTACAAGAAGAATACATTCGAAACCACAGACAAAAAAGTACCAATATTTAAATGCGAAATACATCAATGCATTTTGGATTAATAATACAGTTTATACAATAAAACAGTTAATATAACACACTGTGCTTACGATCGTTAGAATAATGTTAACAGTGATGGCATTTGTTAAGAGTTTACTATCAAATATCGTCAGAGAGATGCTAATTTCATACCACTTCCTTATCTACAAACTAGGAGAGAGAATATACAATGGGTTTCGATAGACATAAACCGTTACACTATTTGGTGTCATTTGCATGTCGCTATGTCAATGTATAGTCACTATCTACATGATGTTGCGTTATGTACCAAACCTTAGTTCCCTGACTGAAATGTAATGGTACAGTTCCAGCAAAGACGCTCCTTATATGACTGAATAACTGAACTGAATAAATCAACAGCCTGACATTAATTTTCGATTTTTCTGATCTGCTTCTCCTTTTTTCAATGGAGAGGTATAACATGTCAAAGTAAGCTTTGTTTGCTAAAACTGTAATGTCTTCAGGTTACATCGTAGATCAAAGGTATTACTGTTATACGTCTTTGGTACAATCAAAAAGTTTTGATCCAGCATTGAATTCAGTTCCATTTGTCATCAACCTGTAATACGTACCAATCAACATTTGTCATTTGATACAGCAATTCCAGGCCTCCGTTTGGCCTCGAGGTATCTTTTTATATAAAATTAACATATTATGCTTATAAGAAAGTATGGCATATGGCAACTTTAACAAGATAAAGTTTGCGTACAATATTGACATATAATACGACCTTGCTGAAGGAAGAACTTTTGTCAGAAGCCATATTCACAAGATCATTAGTATATATTTTCTCCTGACATGAAATGGAAACGTACGGCGTGCCAATTCTGAAACAAGCTACAAGACCAATATAAAATATTATCACTCACTGACACCATGGATGGATGACGCTATTTCCTCATGTTTTTAATATTTTTATTACTTCAGCTGACAAATTAGCTTTCAAAATCACTGAAGTGCACATGTGCAAATATCGAATTTTGAACATGATCACGAATGCAACCTTTTCCCACACATCAACTCAGTCATGCTCACTGTTACTAAAAACAGAAACCTAATGCATTAACAATAGACACATGTATCCAGATAACGGATAATCACATCTTGTATTACAATGCAAAATGGACATAAAACTTCCGATTACTTGGCAAATAGAACGATATTGAATGGATCGACTTTTAAGTACATCGACAGAGCGCCAGGAGTCTTTAAATAGAAGCGGATTTCTACCTTTCGTCACAGTCTGGTACCTTCTACAAACTACCTTGGTCATTGGTTAGATATAAATCAAACTTGTATCCATGACTGCACGGTGATAAGACACGAAGAAGAATGTCATCAGCTTAAACGTCGGGGATCATATTACAAAACTCAATTGCACCGTACCTAATTAAAGAAGACTATGTATGTACTGACGAATGACTTTTTGCATGACACACGCAAAAGAATGATTTGTTTTCCGCCTGTATGAGAAATACTGTCAGAAAATGTTCATTCATATGTATGCTCTCGGTTAGAAGCCGTATGGAATCACAGTTATGGGCATACTGGGGGAATATGGTAAACCATTACATGCACTCTATTGGGCATGTTCTAAATCATATGTAATGTCATCTGTAAAACATATCTGTAAAAATATACGAAATGGAATAATAACGAAAACCATATATTACTCTACGTTCTCTCCTAAAAAAATACAATGCATCGCCATATAAAAATATCGTAAAACGAACCGCCTTACACAATAATGTTTCGAAAGAAATCAGAATTTCTGTAATCATTAAACATATAATCAGGAAAATGTTTATTTGGAGACCTCTTTAATCCAGACTCCCGCTTCAGAACGATCACCTTTACATAAAGTTGAGAGCCATAATACGTCATTCAATGAGCAGTCGTTAATCCGAAATTGTCAACGAGGTTTAAGTATATTCATCATACTAGTATTCAACTGGACTTTGTTAATCCGAAATTGTTAATTGTATTCGGCACAGTATCAAACTGAACTTGCATCCAGATAACGTTGCTTCTCCAAAGCCGCATCAATTGCATACGGCCCCAGCAATGATATTCATAACTCAATGTGTGTACCGTTTTGATTAAGTATTGAAATGATCACCACCCCACTCCCAAGTGTGAGTGAGCGGGAGTTATACCTTACACTGACAATTTAATTATACTAGGATAGGGTTGTCCCTTGGTATAGTGCAACAGTTGATGATAACGCCAATCCAATCTCCTTCATACATACTCACGACAGAAGTGCACGTGCCCCAGACTATTACTGTATGAATAATTGTTACGGTCATGAGAGATTC